TATTATGTACATTTAAGTTTGTTGCAAGAAAATTTTAATTAACAAGAGGCCAAAATAATAGAAAATAAATTCATTTATATTACGAATTATGTATGTATTATATATTAATGTGTTATGAGTAATAAATTCTGCAAAAATCCTTGCCATTTAAAAATAAGACTAATCACATAGATTAAGACTTGTATTACTGTACATTATTTTTTCTGATGTAATGCACTTCTTTCTAGATTTTTAAATAAACAAGTCTTTTTTTTTTATCATCGCTTTTATTCCTTTTGCAGAAAGATCTAATTATTTTAGTCTGTTGATTTTTCGCATATACTTCCTTTCGCATATACTTCGCGTTGAATTCTGCCATAAGCAGCATTTCCCGTCATAAGCTCTATTTATATCTATCATTATTGCATCGCAATAATATATAAACGTGATATGTTGATGATATCTTGACATCAGAAAAAGATATACATATCTAGTGCGGATCTGGCAAAAGCATAAGAAACCGGAAAATGGCAAAAGGTTTTTCGCTGTAAGTATCACGATGGAGGAGTCTCTGATTGTAACGTATGACTCCGTGAATCAAAACGAACAGTTTTACTTCCTCTGTGAATCTAATAGAATCTAATAATCTCTTCGGATATTGTCGGCATCATAAGATTCTTTATAAAAGCGATATCACCGTTCAATGTTCCATTAAGTGTCTTGCATGAGTTAGAGAAAAGTAGTGTAGTGCACGTCCACAAACTTCGGCGGTCTTTTGTCTTGTCTAGTTCGGATAATTTTTAAGGACACATTTCCGTACATTGAATCGTTCGTAGTAAGTACGTCACATGCAGCAATTGTAGTCAATCACTTAGAAGCATGAATCTTTGATTGTGTATCGTGATGTGAAGTCAAATTTTTAAGTATGCAATGAAAACTTTGTCATATAAAATTATATATTTTTTTGTATTTTAAAAGCAGGAACAAATTAAAAATGATTTAAAATCTGAAACTTTTGTAATTTCTAATTTATAGCAAAATTTAGATCTTCTATTTCTCGAGAAACGACATAACAGCGATAATTCATTTGATGAAAAAAATATCAAACAAATACATGCTGATTTTTTCACGACTGGCAAGTAAATTAAAAATATTTATCTCGGTTTTGTAAAAAACATGTTTATTTTTTACCTTAAATAATTTTATTTATTTTTACGATAAAAAGATCAAACATATAAAATGCATAAATTCAACTTTCTTTTAAGTTATAATTGTTTTAGTTTTATCGAATATAGCGGACAAAATTGTTAATGGAAATTTATGATTACGCTATCAGTAAACCGTATCGCCGCTCACCAAGAGGTAGAGTACACGATCAAGACATAATTATTATGGTGGTAGTAGGATAGTGGCGATAGTACAGTTTATCGATAGATTTCAGCATCGATCTCGTTGCATCACAATGCACGCGGATAGATACACTTTCTCAATGAGCTAGTGGCATGATTTTCCTCTTACCGGGTCGTAAACTTTGATGGAGCTCTCATGGAAGTTACGCGAGATATATCGATACGTCAAACATTTTCTGTATTACAATTTCTCTGCATAACAGCGAAATATAGGTCAAAGAAATATTTATAATGATATTGTTAACTGTGACAAATAATACGATAAAATATAGATACATTTGCATTAAATAAACAATTTCTTTTAAACATGGATAATTTAATACCTTGATAAGAGATGAATGTAATTTGATTATTTCCACATGATATTTGATCGCGTTGTTTATATTTCTGCAAATAAATTAACAAATATACAAGATATGAAATTGAAAATAAACTGCTTTGAAGTTCTATTTTCATATGTAATCTATTTCGTGTAAATTACATATACATTTTTTATAATTTGACGTTTATATATAGATTGCACGCAATAATTTTTGATAAAAGTCACAATATTAGACTGGTTTATTTGCGCCAGGATATTATTCGGAGGCGAATATTATCTAAACGCACTGTGCCGAACAACTTTACGAGCATTTTGCGCAATCGTACTTTCTTGCCCATTGTTTTGGCACCGAAAGCGATTTAGCGTGCATTTTCGCCACGTTAAGCCCGAGGTGGGATTACAGGAAGGGGGGTTGTAAACCGCGGGATACAGAGCAATGTAGACGGCAGCGATAGCGGCGCATTATCCGCGTTTACGCCGACAGAAATCCCCCGGCCGGTTCATACATATTAACGTAAGTCATTGCGCGAGTCTTTACGCGCACCGTACGCGGAGAACAAAACGGCCGGGAAATCGCGACCACGCTTTATGAACGGGCCACGAAGCACGATCGTTTTCCGCTATTATTCTGTAAATTACGACACGCTGCTTTCTAGAATCAGACGATGCGTAAATAATGCCGATAAAAATGCAAGGAAATTGATGACGTTAATAAAATGTATTGTAATTACAATTTTTGGGAAGATTGTATTGCTCGTATTTTGCAGTAGTGTTTCTGAAAACGTTAAAATCAAATTGCACATATAAAAAGTATGTCGTTAAAACAATATTCAGTATTCCATCTGTATTAATTTATATCATTCTTGATTCTTATAATTTTATTCTAGGAAAAATATTCTGTGACATCGAGGCAAAAGATTAATCCTTTACTATTGCCATATTTGATAACGTAATTAAAGTGTAATTAATTTGGTTCTAAAAAAAGTTTCGCGAAATTTTCTATTAAAAGGATTTGATATATGCCGAAAATATCTATCTATAATCTATATCACTTTCTCTTTGAGATAACATCTAATGGAGTTATTAATGTCTGTAAATTCAGCCAATGCCTAAGAAAGCTAAGCAGGCACTACAATGACACGTGCTAATGGATAGAGAGTCTATTATCTAGATGCACTTGCGGAACACTAATCTACGGCGTTGCATAAAGAAAAAAAGATTTGCTGCGAGAGCTGGCATCAGACTGATAGCGCGTTTACCTTTATAATTATGTTGCAGGTACAGCCCATAAAGTTATATCGAGAGTTATCGCAAAATATCATATGAGAGGATATCCGGATATAATGATTTATCATGTAATCCGGATGAAAAGTCGCCGCTGGGACTAGATTTTATATGGGTTTTTACGCGCACTTTCACTGTGCACCTTAATCGAGTTCGCATCGATCGGAAATTGGACACGTTGCCGTATAACAAATTGCCTTTATTCCAATAAAAGTGCATCCGCCACAGGTGCATCCGCAAACGATTGTTTAATCGAGCAAATTAGAATGTTTGCGATTCGCTGTTACGAATTTTCCATTTAAAGTGTTTTTTGTAGGAGGAAAAAAGCAATTTTTTAATTAAAATAGCAAATATAATACTTAGAAATACATTTCAAGTATAAAATAAATTTATGTTTTATATATATATATATATATATATATAAATTTATATTTTTTTAATATTTGTTTTATTAATTATTTTATTAACAACAATTTTGATTGAGTATGCATATTTTTATTAAATATTGCAATATTCTAATAAGTATGTTGATTTTTTAAGATCGATTATTCAGCAACTTTTTAATTTTACTGTTAGTCAAAAAAATTAATAAAACAGAAAATTGCATTCAAATATTTTACGCTATAATATCAAAGTTCTTTCGTCTCTTTTTGAAACTACTCTCTTTCTCTCTCTTGTTTTAATTATATATGTTTCTCTTCAATCATATCGTTCCAATTATCACAAGTAGAATAGTTGCAACTGCATCGCTTAATGACGTCGATTTGTTTGGACCACAAGAGAACATTATTATCACGTAGCGACTCGGCTTCGCTTTTACAGATAATTCGCTTTTACTTTCACATGAAGCGCGTTGGCAAAACGAAACGGCTGCTGATACACGACGTACGGTTGCCTTGGCAGAGAACTTGCTATCCGCGCGGCAATACTATTCAATTTGCCGCGAGAGAGTCACGGATGCTGAAATTAAGCTCGTTATAAGCATCTGCGCGGCGACGTGGAACGCGTATGCACACGCGAAAGATACGTCCAGACCGCCGACGTATTTCGGAAGCGCCTCACCGCGATTTAGATGCTCGTCTAATGCGGATAATTATATATCAGAAGCAGCAGCTATGTGACTAACAATAAAAAAATAAAAAATGTATAATCTTGTATACATATAAAATAATAAATAAAAATTAAATAATAAATAAAATAAAAGTTTATCAGTTTAAAATGGTGCGGAAATATATATTGCACGACTTATTGCTTATTAACGTGAGATCGCCCTGTAATGAGACCGAAACCATTGTCCGAATTATGCGCCTGCCATATAATTTTGCAAATTACATCGTTGTTCTTTACGTCTTACGTTTATCTTTACGTCATCTCGATAACAATCTCTGCATCATTTGATCTTTTCTCTTCGACTTAATTTTATATTATTATAAAGAGACCGCTAGTCTGCTATTATTTTGCAATTTTTCATTTAATTATTTTAATTAATTTAACCTTTTAGTACAATAATAATTCTTATGACTAACTATTTTCTAATAAAATAATTATGTAATTTTATAATTGGATTCTGATGAATTTTTTACTAACACTTTTATTGACAATTTTTACAAAATATAAAAAAGTAAACTTGCAAGCTTTTATATTTTTTTTATAACTTTAGATCAATATTACTTGTTGAAGTTTCCGCAATAAAAATATTAAAAAATAAAAAAATGTATAACTTTATATACATATAAAATAATAAATAAAAATTAGATAATAAATAAAATAAAAGTTTATCAGTTTGAAAGATAAAATAAATCAAATATACGAGGACATATTGCACGACGTATTGACTGCAGATTATGTTTTATCATAGTTATTTCTTTCAAACTAATCTCCGAATATTTTTTCGGTGGTCTTGTCACAATATACATATATTTTTAAACGCACGTGATAAATAGGCGATAGCGAGTGCGGATAAAATAAACAAACGTACCAATGCTATCACCGATATTTTATTCCAGCAACGTACAGTTCAACGATGACCGAATACGAGGACAATAGAAATCAAAAATCAATGCAACCGAAAACGGAAAACGGCAAAGATTCGATTCTCAATCAACCGCCGAAAGAGAACATACCGGCAGTGCAACCATTAATTTGGCGCAATATCATTATTATTGCTGCTCTTCACGTTGTGTCGATCTATTTGTTCATCACGCGATATACTGAAGCGAAATTTTGGACTTGGATATTTGGTACGTATCTATTTATCAAACCATCAATTAGTCTTTCACAATCTTATTTTTATCGAGAAGAATGAGTTCCATATATTAAAAAATAAATGACCACTAAAGTGCATTGGAATTGCTGCAAAAACGCGGTTGCTTGTGAAAGTCTAGGAGTTTATTTCTCCTCAGCGAAATTATCGAGACTATTATCGAGATACAGCTCACATCTTCAAATTGTTTCTTTTTTAATATTTCTATGTTTACACATTTAAAAAAATTTTTTAAACATATAATTGCCTGCTGATCTTGTTTTTATTTTATTTCTTGTATAAAGCGCCAATATATGCAGTAGTTGGGGGTTTTGGCATAACAGCTGGTGCTCATCGTTTGTGGGCACACAGGAGTTATAAAGCTAAACTACCACTCAGAATACTACTCGCTATTCTGTACTGTATGACCGGCATGGTAAGATTTCAAAGTATGAAGAAAAGTTAAAAAGTAAAGAGATTTTTTAATTCTCAAATCAATTAAAAATGTTCCTTTACTTTGCCTTACTCTGATATCTTAATCTTAATTATCCAATTTATTAACGGTCATTTAAAATTTTTTAATATAATATTTAGTAAACTTTTATTTTGAGAGATTAACTTTCTTGCAGCAGAATATATTTTAGTATACAATTCTGTACAAAAAATGTGTAATTCTGTATCTTTAATTGCGATTTTGAATCTGTATTTGCGCAGTCTTCGTGAAATCTTTATATTTTTATATATCTCTGTTTTATATATTTCTTTCATATTTTCATATATTTCTGTTTTACAGACATGTCTAACTAGATGGATTCGCGTTCATCGAACTCATCATAGGTACACAGATACATGTGCGGATCCGCATAACTCCAATCGCGGCTTTTTCTTTTCGCACGTCGGCTGGTTAATGATGAAGCATCATCCGGCGGTTAAGGAGTACGGAAAAAACGTGGATTTAAGCGATCTTGCTGCCGATCCTGTGATACGTTTCTTTGACAAGTGAGCTTGACATTTCAACGCACTAGACACATTCCGAGTTTCACATTTCGACGCATTCCTCGATTTGCAATGAAACGATCGTAAAATCAATGCAGCAGTGGCATCTAATTAAATCTGATTAATCGAATCTACCGGTATTCTAATCAGATTCAGTTGTCGTCGCGTTTCATCTAAGGTTTTAAAAAACAATCGAAAACGAATTTAAAGTTTATAAGAAAGCCAGTATTGAATTGGTTTGCTTACAAAATCATTTTGCAATTATTCGAGGTGCATGATATTGTGCGATGTTATTCCCGTATGAAAGGAATTCATTCTAAGAAGTTAATTACAAGAACTATCTCTTATTAAAAAGCAATATTGAGTGTATAATAATTTATTACAATTATCTTTGATTTATGTACTTGGATCACGCGGTGGTAGCCATTACGCGCGTTAACGCGCGTATAACATTCGAGGATACTTTTATTGCAGGTATTATATACCGATCATGGTGTCGCTGTGCTTCGTTCTGCCGTCCGTAATACCGGTTTATGTGTGGAACGAAACGTGGTTCATAAGTATAGGTGCTGTTATCTTTCGCTACGCAGTGGCTTTGAACATGATTTTTTCCGTCAACAGCTTCGCTCATATATGGGGCAGTCGACCGTATAACAGGTACATATCAATTTCTTGGGTTCTTGTTTATATGATCAAAATCCAGGCCAGAATAGCCCGAGGGAGGGATCGTGTTGAGATATAAATAGAAAAATATTATAATTTAATTTACATATAAAATTTAGCAGCGAATGTGTAAAGCATTATAATTTAATATAAAAAAGATATAACAATTTTTTTTTAATTCTATCACCCAATATTTAATATTAAAATAATTAAATTTTTTACGATTTTTTAAAAGTAGTTTATTTAAAATTATGTAAAAAATTTTTTTAATAATTTCAAAGCTTGACACTGTTAAAGTTTACTTAAAGCAAACTTTACTTAAAACTGTGTAAACAAATATTATTCCTAATTAGCAATTTCGAAGTTTAATTTGCAAATAATGTTCATGTTTTTGATTACTTGTATAATTAGAAAACTATTAATGTCATAATATTTTTCTTAAAGAGGAGTGATTGATCTTGGATGTTCAATATGTAAAAATTGTAAGGTGCATTGAATTTTGTGTTAGAAATAGGTTTGCTCTGTAATTTGCTTGCTTTTCGATGTGCTTCACTAACTTTCCCGATGAAGAGGTGATTAATCTTGTGACCAAGCACTATACTTTTTCCCGGATGCAAGTTTCTAGCTTGAATCAGATTCACCTACTAATTCTGCTTATTTTCGTTGTTATAAATGGTAAAGCACTTTATACTCTCTCTCTCTAATTTAGCATTGTAGAAAATTTTAATTTTTTCTACAACAGTAATGATATACAAAAAGCGATTATAAATAATGAATTAGGCTTCATCCGTTTGCTAGATTTATGATAAATCGAATTTAACATAAGACATATAATATTGATGCAAAGTATGTTTCTACAGAATATTCCGAGTTTTATTATAAGAAACGCCGTCAGATATTCTTTTCTCTCGATTGTGAAAGGAATCAATGTTATAAAAAGTAAGAAACTTCTATGAATCTCAAGCTACCTTTCGTCGTTTTCTAAAATAAAATAAGTTTATATATACACGTCAATCATTGTCCACGAAAGATAATTTATCGAAGAAAATTTATACGGGGGCACGATAATAGATAGAAGTTGTAAGGTATTATTCCGCTTAAATAATCTGTTGCACGAGTTTCCGGCGGAAGTTCGTTCGCATAGTCGTCCCGGATCACAAACGGCGAAACTTCTCTCTTTTCCTCTCCTTGTTTCAGAACTCTTAAGCCAGCGGAGAATCCGACGGTGGCCTTCATTGCTCTCGGCGAGGGTTGGCACAATTATCATCATGTCTTCCCGTGGGACTATAAGGCCTCGGAATTGGGCTTTGCTCGTCTCAATCTGACGGCCGGATTTATAGAATTCATGGCTTGGTTGGGATTGGCGTATGATTTAAAGATACCGAGCGTCGAAATCGTCGCGAAATATCGCGCGAATAAAGGCGACGGCACAATCGATCTTTCGGGATGAAACGTGGGGCAGGTATTTTTAAGATATAAGCTGCAATTAAATAATAAAGGAAAAACAGATGCAGGAACGAGGGTACATACACTAAACTCATGTTGCCAATTTCGCCGTAGAATGCAATACGCACATTAGTAGCAAATTCACATTTTCTGCATGTTAATTTGTACAATACTTTGTTTTTTGAGATTAAAGTGTACAAAGCAACATATCATATAAAGATTGTTGAAAATATTTCTTGAAATAATAATGCGCTTTTCATCATGTCTCGTAAATTTTTGTACGTAAATCTTTGTCATGAATTATATATTTCGCATAATTTGCATGATTTATATCTCGTAAACTCATGCAAATGCAATTATGTCAACTTTTTATCAATGTATTCACATCGTCATCGCCATCGGGTGTGGCATACATTACGTAGGATGCATATCGTGTTTTTGGACTGCCGAAAGAGTCAAAATAAGTATAATTATATCTCGATATAATTTAAAAGTTTGCATTTCATCGAATCCAACATATTGCGCCGTTGTATGTTGATGCATGATAACAAGTTCAAAGTTGTGTAAATAAATGCTTTTTGATGTGCAATATTCAATGAAATATTTTGCATTTTTGTTTACATGCATGTTATTTTGAATATATTGCCATATGTTGACGTAACGCATCGAATTCAATGGAGTGCAGATTTTATTTTGGAGCAAGTATCTAAGTGCTGCATTTTGTGTAATATTGTTAAAAATTTCCAAAAGTATTATTATTGTGCGTTTTAAAAATGATTATTTATTACATTAATACATTATATTAACAGGATACATTTATAATTTATATATATGAATTTATAGAATAAGAGACTTTTCATATGCCGCTATGAAATTAAAATCCGTTAAAGTTGTTGGAATAAAAATATGTGAAAAAATATAAAAAAATAATTAGCTTTCTAAATGTTTAGATTGAGAAGATTGAATTTAGATTAAAATTTATTCAGATTTTTGAAAAAGTGAATTAAACTACCTTTGCGTTCAACTCGATGTTAATTGAGATATACAATGAGTAAAGTGAGATCGTCTTTTTACAAATAGATAGCATCCTCTCCTTTTACTGACTCAAATGCAAATAATGTAGATATTTTTTTGCTCCGGCTATTCCTCTTTCTCTTTGCTTTGAACGCTGAATAAATAGAACAGCGTTCCCAGTTATATCCTATGCGTGATCACTGAATATCTTTGAATTAGGGAAGCATTACAGAACGTGGCAGAATATGTTATTTCAGACTGAATACTACTGCCTTTGACAGACAAATTATCTGTCTTGAATTTTCATGAATGATGCGCATTACTTAGTTATGTTTGTAGGAATTATATTAATCTCTTATGTGAAATAAAAGTGGAAATATATTGATATTTTACAAGATATTTTATAAATATAAAAAGCAAAAATATATGAAATCGATTATTTTATTACGCAATGAATTTATTATTAATATATATAGCTTTTAAATTATGTTAAATTAAATTTATGTTAAATTAAATTTTTTATTTACACATTGTGTGTAATTATGTGAAATAAAATAAAATTTTTATAGACTAGATTAACTGCTAATTTGCTAATTACTTTGAATAAAAATTAATATTCTTACTAATAAATAATAGATTGTGATAATTTTAGCATTCAACTCATGGTAAAATTCTCAAAAATATAGTTACGTTAATTTAGTTTTTGTCATAATTTGTTAATTAATACACACAGAGTTGTAAATTATAATTTTATGTGTATCGTCAATTTTGGAATACTTTGTATTTAACTTTAATGTATTCAGAGTTTTGAAGCGACAACATTTGCTTTAATTAGCAGAATGTATAGAATTTTTACGCTAACTGTAAAAAAAGGAATATTTTACCTATTAAAAATCCAATCAGAATTTAAATCATCTATTTTTATTACAAATATCTGGATAGTTAATAGTCTTCGTCATGCTTCATAGCCCCGTGTAAATTTTTGTCCCGGCCCGATAGCGGAATTTTAAGCGCTGTGGAATTTTAATAAAGGCTTTGTCACACGATAGATATCGGATGTATCACACAAATGAGACACGCTCTTCGGCGACCTCAGCGGTCAACGATTTATATAAACGCCCTACATACGCGAAGTCACGTTTCGCCGATAAAAAAAGGAAGAGAGACGCCAGAAAAGTGTTATCGATCCGGATAGCCTGACGTCGCGCCGTTTCACCCGGGGGTTAAATTTAGTATTTATCATCACGTATTCCGCGGAGTCTACAGGTAGCGCCTGCGCGACTCCGTCGTGTCGCGCGTCACGCACCCTTATATGCGCATATATGCCTACATATCTATCTATACAGAGCCGGTATGTGACGGCGGAACATATTTACCCTCTATGCACATTACGAACATTTGTCTATTTTTGTCATAGCAACCCGTCGTGTATCGATCATTCTAATGTTTCTGTAAATGTGGCCGCGCGCGCGTCTCGCATTTCACGACGCGCGTCAGCGTCGAAAATCTAGGGCGAGAAAAAAAGTCGCCGCGAGAGCAGCGGCGGCCGTTACACATGTGGGATATGAGTGCATTGCACGATTAATGGTAATATGCATTCCTGATTACTCGATTCGCACGTTCTGTTTATTCGCGCTTTCACAGTGACAGTTATGAATTAGCGGGATTATCGTGATTATTGAAATATATGTTAGAAATATCATTGATACACATGCAGCGGTTATTGTCTTAATTAATTGGAATTAAACATATTTTATTCAATTCAATTGACCGTACTTTATACCATATTTTGTTAGCCAACAACGATCAAATATAATGAGTAAATATCTATTATTGAATCTATTATGATGTTATATGTATCAGAAGCCAATTGTAAGATATATGTCGAGACTATTAATTCTTTTTCATGCATGCAAGTAATAAATATACATATATATAATTTACAATTTTTAACATTTTTACTTTTGTAAAAACTTTTTGTAAAATAAATGACAAAAATTAAATAAGAAATATTATATCTAGAATTTAAAAAATGTGAAAAATAAAATCATTTAAATAACACTGAAAATTTTCTATAAACTATATGTAAAAATAACATTTTTTTGATGCTATCAAAGAATATTCTAGAATGCCAATACGGAATATATTTTCTTCGTAAAAGCAATTTACTTAAAAAAAACATTTGAAGCAGGTATATTAAATTTTATTACAAAATTAAATATAACACACATTTAATTTCTCTGAGAAAATTGAGAAATGAAAACAATCGCGCGTTATAAAATATCCATGCAATTTGACTCACCCCGTGTTACTGACCTGACCAGTTTTCGTTCCGTCAGGATAATACCCTCACCGCCACCACAGTAAACACACCACCCGCCACTTTCGTCCCGCGACACTGTGCTCGATTACGTGCACGCAGCCTGGGTCTTAAGATCCACGCCGGTTACGATGTGTCGGAATGAGTCTCGAAGGGCAAAAGTATACAGTCCGGTTGCTTCTGAGTGAGACCGTGACTTCGTACGTGACGTAGGAATGCGACTGAAGCTGCGGCACATAAATGGACATGAAATTATCGTGGTTACATCTCGAAGTTCACTGAAGCGAACGTGAGGCAGAGCGGACACGACGATAAATGAACACCGTGGGGCACGTATGAATGAACGGAAATCTCTGGCGGATCGGAAGAGCAGGTGGATAGCTGATTGAATAAACAAACGAGCTAGCGGATACAGGCCGGACAGACCGTATCGTAAACAGAGGGTAAATAGCCACGCGTTTTCGCTCAGGTGCGTTTGCGTGGATGCCGCTGGTGCGTGCGTACGACACCGCGTATATGTGGTGTGTGTATGATATGTGTGCGCCCGTGTGTGTGTCTGCGTATACACGTGCGAGCGTAGGGGTGCGAGAGATCTTCTAACCGCGACGATGGTTTAGGGTGTACTGAACGTTACCCGGAGAGGGTTGGTTGTACGGCGTAGTGTCTAATCCAACATTACCTAACCGTATAGCAACGGCGCCATGGAAACGGCACGTTTGCGCTTGCGTCGTCGTCGTCGTCATAGATCGACTTAAACTTTTTTGGCAATTCCACCAGTTACTTCGAGAACTCGCAATAAAAGCTGCTATTAATTCTCTATAAGTGTCGCACCGGAAAGGGGAGGGGATAAGTCCGCAATTTGTCGCCCTTGGAGGAACGTGCTAGTGATAGTTGGTGCGCGTTGACCCGAGAGCAGTTGCGAGGTCGAACTAATATCGAGGCAGCTGATGTTACCGCCATAAGATTTTTAATTAATTCCATGTTATCTGTCTGATTAAGTATAATAAATTCATTTTATCGCTGCAGCAATAGTGAATCTCTTTCCTTAATCGATGAAGAGATAAATGGAAAAATGAGACTGTTAAACTACCTTATCCTTATCTCTACTTTCTCAATAAAACATTGCCTTGCTTATCTTTTGCAGAAACTAAGCTTTGCGTTTACTGAGCATCAGATTTTTAACAGCAATCTCGACCTAAAGCGACATCTCTTATCGATATCGCATTTTCGGGGTGAAGCAATTTCCTATTTTGCAAAGTTATACAAAATTAAAATATATGCTCCTTGCAAATAACTATTATAAAAGCTTCATAAATACTTATAATTTATAAAGTATTCTAAAATTTAAATATATTTTTGGAAAAATGTATATTGTCAAGAAAGTATAGATTTTTTTCTATTAATATAATATTTAAACTTTCTGTATAAATAAATTCATGAATAAAAATGAAAGAGAAAAATCAATAAAAGATTGTTTTCTAAATTTCTATTAACGCAGCGCATTTACGCCGATATGTAGATTATGGATCGCTGATAAGCTGATAAAACAATGTTGCCATTTTATCCTTTGAGACGATCCATATTATAATTTCCACACATATAAATAAAATATAATATTAACTCTTAAAATGTAATATTTTTCATCATTTAGAATAACATTTCTCTGATGGACCGCTGATGGACATTAATTTGTCCTAATTATCTCAAAAAGCAATCAATAATATTGATTTTAATTTTAAATTTTCTGGAAAAATATAAATCCTAAAAAGTAAAATAAAATTAAAAATAAAAAACATATTTAATTTAAAAAAATATTATTCGTTAAAGTACGTAGAGTAAAAGATGTATTTTTAGACGTTACTTAAATAGGGGTTCCACGGATCAATATAATGCTCTGAGGGTGAAAGACCTCCAGCTCCAGGTAAAATTTCGTGGAAAGGTTGATATTACCGACCGTTTTAGTCATTCGACGAGATACTACTAAAGTATACAATTCTAAGTAAATTTTCGTGACTGTCGGAGAAATCTTGGGCTTAGAGAAACTTTTGTTCAATTTTATCTGTCAATAAATATAATAAATTCATTACAATGACGCAAAATGTACTAATATTTAGTTAAACGTATAATTTTCCCGATGTGAAAATTTTATTTGTTCCTATTAAACGTTTAAAAATACTTTCTCGGTAAATAATTGAAATATGAGAAACTTTTATATTTTAACATACGAAACTTTTTGCTTAAATTCCACTTGCTTCTTACGACTAGTTTGTTAACCGGATTTAAGTACACGAGTTTCAATGCATAATAAACATAGATTTCACTGTCAATTAACTGTTTGATTGTTCGTTTAATCATTCCCGTTATTCACCTTGTTATCCACGCAGACGTGACCTGTTCGCTCTCTACACAAAAATTAAAGTAAATATTATAAATACTATATACTATCACTTTTCTTATTTAAAAAAGTTCATTATTAATTTCCAAGAAAATCATCAAAAAATGCAAGTAAAGATTTACGAATGATAAACCGATATTAAGAATAAAATTAGAAAATCAGAAAATTTGGAATATTATATATTATACATAAAGTTTTTCAAAATTATCAAAAATTTATGAGATAGTAATTATTTAGTTGCATTTCTCAAGCTTCACATTCGAGATAAGCTTCTTATTTCCACTTCAAAGACTATTGATGCTTTGATGTTTCTGCTAAGAAGATTTGCTGGAAGATTAAGTTTAGGTTGCTCAAATACCATATTATATTTTCCGAAAAAATTCTGTTTATGTAAATTTTAACAAGGATTTATATAATCGTACAGTTCAACTCATCAAAAAAATGAGAATAAGTGCAAATAATCAATAATAAATCGATTAATAACTACAAAATTAATTTACTTGTATGTTAACTCGTATCGTCTACTCTTTTATGTCGATTTTTTTTATTTTTTCTGAATCTTTTAGTTATTTTATGTTAATTCAATAAGAGCGAGTTTTTCGGGTATTATCTTGTCGGAAACCGGAAAGAAAGCGTATAAATTAGTTCAAAAATAAGATTTATAATCATTGAGAAAGACTTCTTGAATAAACAACTTCCGTCGTTTTTTTCTTCACTTAAAACATTTTTTTTGTAAGTAATTTTAATTAGTAAAAATAACAAAACAATGGAAAGTAGATCTTTATCAATATATTATACAATCGATGTATATTACGTAAAGTCAGTGATACAAGTTCTGCAAATATTGCAATTTGAAAGTTTAATGGTCGGATGATCAGATTAAGACTGTACTATAAATTATTTTGTAATATTTCTACGAAATAGTAACGTGAACCAGATTTTTTCTTATATTTTTAAACAGAAAAGCCTATTTAGTCTTTTAGCCTATTAATAATATTTTTTATTCTTTTTGCAATAAGATTCAATTATTTTAATTTGTCGATCTTTTGCTTATTCTTTCTGAGTTTGTCCTGAGTTTCGTAAGCATCATCTGTGACATTATTGCATCGCAATGTAACGCAGATACGATATGTTGATCATTTTATTTATGTTATAAAAAGTCACATATGTTTACAGTAAAAGCATAAGAAACTGTAGCACCGAAGAATGGCGGAAGATATTCCGGGGGAGAAAACAATGATGGAAGGATCGATGGGGGAATTGCTTTGGTTGCTAGAAATCGTTCCGCAAATCAAGACATACTTTACCCCTCTACGATAGAAGCGACACTTACGATGTGCCGACATCACTGGGCTCTTTATATATATAAACGCGGTGTTACTGTCTAATACCCCATGGAACGTTTTGCACAGGTTTGGAGAATAGTACGGTAGATTGGTTAAAGTAGTGACATCGATACACTCCGTCGATCTGTTATTCTGTCTAGTCCGCACAGCTGTTCAGAACATACATTTGCAGAACACCATTTGCAGTAAGTACAGCGCGTGCAGCAATTGTAATCAGTCGCTTAAAAATATGAATTTTTGATTTACGTATCGTGATGTGAAGTCAAATTTCTAAGTATGCTTAGTCTTTTTACATATAAAAATTTTATATATCTATTCTAAGTACACTATATGTAATTTTTATTCTTTTACAATAATGAAAAAATTAAAAATGGAAAATGCATAAATTTTATTTTTTTAAAAGATATAATTGTTCTAGTTTTATCAAATATAATAAAAGAAATTGCTAGTCGAAAATTGTGATTTTGCTATCGGCACCGTGTCACCGTTCGCGAAAAAGTAGAGTACACTATCCAAATATAGAATAAAGCAGTATAATATAATATAAGTATAGTTTTAGAATAAATCAATGCAAAATTAATTCTAAATTGTTATTGTTACAAATTTTAATAATGTTAAAATATAATTACAAGTCCTGAAAGAAACTTTGTTTTTTTCCTCTTCTTAATGATTTGATATATGTCAAGAAATCTATTTGTTATTTATATATAGATATTATTTTTCCAAGATAATATATGAAAAGAGATCTATTAATGTCTTTATACTCGACGGAAAAAATCTCGTCAATGCCCAGGAAAGTTGAGCTAGAAACTAGCAATGGAACGTGTTAATAGCAGAAAGCGTGTATCTTCTAGACGCGTATTCGTAGAATGATCTATAGCGTTGCATGAAGAAAGGATTAGCCGCAAGCATTCATGTCAAAACTGACAACGCATTTATTATGCTCTCCGTAATTATAACCTATTCTTCAGTCGATAGTTTGTAACAAAAATTAATACATGAACATTGCGCGTGGTCGAATTTCCAGATATAATGATACAATATAATTTATCATGTAATTCAGATGAAAAATTCTCACTGGATGAGATTTTATACGCGTTTTTACTCGCACTTTCACGGTACATTTAATCGAGTTCGCATCGATCGAAAATTGGGCAAGCTGCCGTATAACAGATTGCCTTTATTCTAATAAAAGTGTATTTGCGCGCCACAGGTGTTTCTGCAAACAATTGTTCCATCGAACAAATCAGAATGTTTGCAATTCTCTGTTAATTGATTATTCTAGCAACCTTTTGATTTTACTATTAATTATAGTAGAATTAATTACATTTATAAGTGCAAAAGTACATTACAATACAATATCAAAGTTGTACAGTACTTTTTCGAATTAGATTTTTGATTATATCTTTTTTTTTTGTCAATTATATTGTTTCAATTGTCACACGTACGTAGAATAGTTACAACTGCAGTACGTAACAATGCCGACTTGTTTACACCGCGAAAACATTATTATCACGTAGTGCCTCGGGCAGATGATTCGCTTTTACTTTCACGGTAAACGTACGACCGGAAAACGAACCGGTTGGTGATACATGCACATGATTGCATTGGCCGAGAACTTGCTTTCCACGCGACAATACTATTTACTTTGTAGTTTACCGTTACGGATGTTAGAATTAAGGTCGTTATAAGCAATGGCGATGCAAAACGCATATATACACGAAAATGAAAAAAACACGTTCAGACTGTCGGATGCGTTTAAAAAAGCATCGCATCGCGTTTTAGATGTTTGTTTAAATAATTGAAGGGTTCAGAAGAAAAATGGATAGAGTTCTTTTTTAAATTCATGTATAAATTAAAAAAAACTGAACAGTTTTCACTGAATGATTTAAAAGAGAGTGCAAATGTTTAAGTTAAAATTAAAAGAAATATATATCGTCTAATGAAAAATAGTGTACATGTTGCATACAATTAAAATTTTAATTTTAGAACTAATTTTCTAACAATTAACAAAAATTTGATTTGATCCATTTTTCCTTTGAACCCTTCAATTATACATTGAGATGAAAAGGCGCCCATACGGTTAGCAATATTTGCTTGTTAACATGAAATCGCTATGTAATATCGAGAATAGAAAACTCTTACTCTAATTATAGATCTGCCATATAATTTAATCAATGATATGTTATGCAACGAAATTATGTTGTTTAACTTTACATTATCACGACATCACAGCTTTACATTATCGCTTGATCTTTTAACTTTTACTTAATTTTATATCATTACAAAGAGGCTGTTTTGCAAATTTGTATTTAATTATTTTAATTATTTTAATTTTTATTACATTAATAATTTGTATGACTCTTTCTATATATTTAATAATAAAATGAGTATGTTATTATAATTAAATTACGACAGACTTTTTTGCTGACAAAATTTTATAGTAATTTCTTTTCAAGTAATCTGAGTTTTTTGATGGTTCTGTCACAATATATATTTTCAAATGTATACTTGCGATAAATAAGCGACAGCGAAGTGCGGGTAAAATAAACAAACGTACCAATGCTGCCACCGATATTTTGTTCCAGCAATGTACAGTTCAACAATAACTGAGTATGAGGATAATAAAGATAAAAAGTCATTGGAAACGAAAAATGAGAAGGAATCGATTTTCGATCAACCGCCGAAAGAGCACATACCAGCAGTGCAACCATTAATTTGGCGCAATATTATTGGCCTCGCCATTCTTCATGTTTTGGCGATCTATTTGTTTATCACGCGAATTTTCAAGGTGTCAATTTGGACTTGGGTATTTGGTATGTTTCTATTTATTAAACCGCCAATTAGTCTTCCATAATTTTATTTTTATCGAGAAGAATGAGTTCCACTCATTGAATGAATGGATACGAAGCGCACTGGAATTGATGCATAGACATAGCGCGGTTTCGTATAAAATTCGAAGTTTATTTTTTCCTCAGTGGAATTAATTAAAAAATTTTTTAAACATATGATTACTTATTGATCCTATTTTTATTTTATTTTATTTGTATGCAGGATTTACATATGGATTTTTTGTTATTATTGGCATATCAGCTGGTGCTCATCGTCTGTGGGCACACAAGAGCTATAGTGCTAAATTGCCACTCAGAATACTACTCGCTATTTTTTACTGTATGGCTGGTCAGGTAAAATTTCTAAGTATAAAATTAAAAAGTAAAGAAAATGTGGATTTGCGTAGTCTTCGCAAACTCTTCACAACATTTTTCGTTTTGCAGACTCATCTGACTAAATGGGTTCGCGTTCATCGAACACATCACCGGTATACAGACACATCCGCGGATCCGCATAACTCTAATCGTGGCTTTTTCTTTTCGCACGTCGGCTGGTTAATGATGAAACATCATCCAGCGGTCAAGGAATACGGAAAGAATGTGGATATGAGCGATCTTGCTGCCGATCCCGTGATACGCTTCTTTGATAAGTGAGTTTAATATTTCAGCGCATTGATGTCCTTACAAAATTGTTTTATTCAAGGTGTTTAGCATTGTTCCTAAATGAGAGATTTATACACATGTGTAACACTTGCGGGTGTTTTCTATTGCAGATATTATCCGCCAATCATGCTGTCAGTTTGCTTCGTTTTGCCGACCTTAATACAGGTCTACTTATGGAACGAAACGTGGGACATAGCAATAAATTCTGTTATTGTTCGCTACGTAATATCATTAAACGCGACTTTTTCCGTTAACAGCTTCGCTCATTTATGGGGCACTCGACCGTACGACAGGTATGCATTAATTTCTTGGGTTCACACTTATGTGATTAGCATCAGAATCGGTCAAGATAGTGTGAGAATTGTGTTCAAATATAAATATAAAAATATTATAATTTAATATAAAAGAGAATACTTTCAATAAAATTAAACAAAATAATAAACAGATTTTGTAAAGTATTATTTTGTTTAAATAAGAGCTGCGTGAGTTTCCAGCGGTCGTTCATATAGTCGTTCCAAATGAGTAAAATTTCTTTCTTTTCGTCTCTTTCTTGTTTTAGAAATCTTAAAGCAAGGGAGAATATTGGGGTGGCTATCGTCGCCAATGGTGAGGGTTGGCACAATTACCATCATGCGTTTCCATGGGACTATAGGAACGCGGAGCTAGGCTTTCATAGTCTCAATCTGGCGGCTGGTTTTATAGAACTCATGGCGTGGTTAGGATTGGCGTATAATTTGAAAACACCGAGCCCCGAAATTATTGAGAAATATTGTGCGAATAAAGGTGACGGCACTATCGGATTCTCGAGACGAAAAGCGCGACAGATATCCTCGAAACATACAACTGCTGTTGAATAAAGCAGGATCACCTTAAATTTAGACTAAAACTTATTTCATTTTCATTTTTTTTTCATACTTCTGTAAATATAGTCTCGATACGCATTAATGTCAAAAGACTAAGGCGAGAAAAAAAGTTGTTTTCGTGCTAATCATTGCACATGTGGGACACAAGTGCACTGCATGATTAATTCATTTCCTGCCGGACCGATTTTCCATTCATGCCGTGAAAGTCATATGCGTTCCGTGTTGTTGAAACTAACACTTCTTCTTATAACATATACGTTATAATATATATAAAACTGCATGAATCATTAATAGCAAGAAAATGTAAAGTTTAAAATGCTTCACAGAACAAACATGATGATGAGTTTATGTCAAAAAAGGAAAAAATTTGTTTCTAATTTTGTCAATATTTAAAATCAAAATACTATATTTTTAACAAAAACAATGTATTGCTTGTATTTTATAAAACATTTAAAGCAAATTCTGACATTTAAGGAATCAAATAAAAAAACATTTTATTATGCCGCAAGGGATGCGATTCACGGCATGATAACTGTATACATTTTGGCAATCAATACATGATTTTATTATATATTTTATAATAATGTATTATAATAATTACATTTAGTAATAAAAATATATAACGGAATCTGAACGGAAAGTTCGGCGTGGGGCATATGCAATCTATGTGGCACGGAACGAGTTAATGGTAATACATTTATTTTGTAATTATTCGATTATCACATTCTATTGATTCGCGATTTCGCTTTCAAAAGTTATGGTTTTTATAGAATTTCTAAGTAAGGATTTTTTTAATTGTCCAATATTTCTAAATCTATATGTTTTACATTTTTACTAAATAAAATTTTTTAAACGTATGACGGCTTGTTGATTATGTTTTTATTCTATAATATTTCCCATATTCAGGATTGCATGAAAAGTGTGCATACAGTTCTAAATTTCTAAATGCAATTTTAAATCTACATTTGTGCAGTCTTTGCAAAATCCTTATAAGTTTTTGCAGATTTATCTAACTACATGGATTTACATTTATCCATCACAAGTATACGGACATATCTGCGAATCCGCGTGACACTAATTGCAGATTTTTCTTTTCGAGTTGGTTGGTTGATGATAAAACATCATTCAGTGGTTAAAGAATGCGAAAAAAATATGGATTTAAGCAATCTCGCTGTCGATATTGTGATAAGCTTCTTTGAAAAGTGAGCTTAACATTTCAATGCACTCGATACATTCCGAGTTTCACATTTCGACGCATTTCTCGATTTGTATTAAAACAATGGTGAAATCAGTGGCGTGTAATTAAATCTGATAGGTCGAATCTATTAGTATTTTAATCAATTTTCATTCGCGGTTGCATTGTATCTAAATATCTAAAAAGAAATCAGAAACGAGTTTGAACTTTATAAGAAAAATCAACACTGTTGCATTGGTTTGTTTACAAAGTCGTTATTATTCAGGATGTACATTGCGCAAAGTTATTCCTGTATGAAAAGAATTAAGCAAGAAATTATACGCAAGAGTAATTTCTTATTAAAAAGCGATATTAAGTAAAATTTATCATAATTTATTTTGATTTATGTATCATGTGATCGTACCGTGACGTGCATTAACGTGCGTGTAACACTTGAGGATGTTTTTATTGTTAAGTATGCGCCGATCACATGTTATCCCTGTGTTTCGTTGCCGGCTGGCATTACACTGGTTCATGTATGGAAGCATGATTCTTAAACATAAATTAATATTAAACATGAGTTTTTCTGCTAATAATTTTCCTCATATATGTAACAATCGACCGCACGAGTATTTTTTTTCATGTTTATGCAATTGCCAATAAAATCGATCGAGATAATGTAAAAATCCTGTTCAAATGTAGATAAGAAAATACTATAATCATTGTCATATAATTACTATCAGTAATGTTGCTCATCTTTAGAATATTAAAATTCCTTCTACCTGCATATATTGTGAAATTGGCTAGTCGCGTAATCATTATGTGCGCTCGAATTGCTAAATCACGAATACCAAAGTAAAAATAGCAAACTGACCGACTTTCTTTAGGCTTGATCACGTTTTTGTAGATATATGTATATATGATGTTCATACATACGATGTAACACAACTTTGTGCAATGTAACATCGTTTTCATTTGTATATTTGAGAGTTATGCTGCTTTTGATTATGGAATCTTAATTGAATTGTATGCATTAATGTATGTTCAAACGTATACTTGTGAATGTTAATTAAATTATAAATTTTAATTAACAGAATTACGAAGATAATATTAGAGTAAATATGTACTTATTTATATATATTACGTATATTTTAATATGAGTCAGTGATACGAGTAACAAATTCTGCAATGTATTACAACTTGAAAATTCGATGGTTGGATGGTTACAAAGATTTATTGCTGTATTATAAATTATTTTGTAATATTTTTTGCGACATAATAACGCGAGCTATATATTTTCGTACATTTTTAAACAAAGAAGTTTATTTAATCTTTCAGCTTATTAATCGTATTTTTTATTTCTTTTCAGTAAGCACCCAATAAACATTAAGACATTCTATGTACATCCTATATATGTACATATATGGATATTGTATATTTTATGTATGTATATACAGAGAATGTGAAAAGTATATACATCGCATATCCTATGTATGTGAAATAATTGCCACATGTATGTACATAGGATGTCCATAGTACATACATAGGTATATTCCAAAGATATGCAGTGTACATTCGTGGTATATACATGGGATATATTGTAAGAATGTGCAATACACATTCGTAGCATGTACATGAGGTATATTCTATGTATATTTACGCTGTGATCTCGTTTGAATATACAAGTCATGTATATTCAAACAACTACAAATATCCTTAAATATACGTAAATTCATGTATATTCTATGTATGTACATAGTATATACAGTACATTTTTTCACATTATGGATATTCCATGTATATACATAGGATATCAAATGTTTACTGGGTATATGACAAAAATACTTGGCCCTATGTAATTAATTAAATAATAAAATAAATTAAATAATTAAAAAATAATTAAAAAATTAAATAATAAAATAATTTTAAATTTAAGTAATTTATTTTTTAACATTAAAAATTTTATGAAAAGTGGACTCTCCACTCTCCTCTACTCTTAAGTCAATAATAAACAATTTTCATTCATTCGGATATTTATCTACCCAATTTCTGAACAATTAGTTTATCTAAATTCTCTGTGTTGGGATTTAGATATTAAACTGATAGAAAAAGTTATTATATCTTTAATATTATTAGCCGCCTTTTGCAAGTTTTATATAATTCTCATGATTAAATATGTAAATATGTATATGTATAAATTAATATTTATAATATTTATAAATATTGCAATGTCACTGTAACATTATCAGAAAGTTACAGCGATATCGTTAGTTATAGTCGTGGTGATATCATCATAATATGACATAAAATGTCACAGAAATGTTACAACAAATTTTAAGAACATTACAAAACAGTATTCAGATTAGTTCATTCGCTTGCCGATATGTGACGCATTATGCGCTATCTATCTCGTATTTAATCATAAGAATTATATAAAACTTGCAAAAGGCGGCTAATAATTTATGAGTATAATAATTTATGAATAATTTAAAGATGTAAAAACTTTCTATCAGTTTAATATCTTAATCCCAACACAGGGAATCTAGATAAACTGATTATTCAGAAATTGAATAGATAAATATCCGAATAAATGAAAATTGTTTATTTTTTATTGACTTAAGAGTAGAGTCCAGTGGAGAGTCCACTTTCCAAGAATTTTTAATGTTAAGAAATAAATTATTCAAATTTAAAATTATTTCATTATTTAATTAATTACATTGGGCCAAGTGTTTTTGTCATATACCCAGTAAACATTCGATATCCTATGTATATGCATGGAATATCTATAATGTAAAAAAAACGTACTGTATATACTATGTACATACATAGAATATACATAAATTTACGTGTATTTAGGGATATTCATAGGACATCGTATGGATATGCACAGAATGTATATTCGAACGAGATCGCTGCCTGTATATACACAGAATATACCTCATGTACATTCCATGTATATACATCAAACGTATATACATACAATATATGTTGATGTAGATACATTTATGGATGAGGTGATATTTTATGTCATATTATAATGATATCACCACGACTGTAATTAATGACATCACTGTAACTTTCTAATTCATAAATATTAATTAATATTAAAATATAAAATTAATAATATAAAATGAATATTTATGGATATTGTGATGTTACTGTAACATTATCAGAAAGTTACAGTGATGTCATTATATATATATATATATATATATAACGATACAAATATCCCTAGATACACGTAAATTTATGTATATTCTATGTATGTACATAGTATAACAGTACGTTTTTTTCATATTATGGATATTCCATGTACATACATAGGATATCGAATGTTTACTGGGCAGTAAGATTCAATTATTTTAATTTATTGATCTTTCGCGTATTCTTTCTGAGTTTGCCTGAAGTTCCGTCATAAGCATCGTCTGTGACATTATATGTCACACATGTTTACGGCATCACATTTTACAAAATCATAGAAAACTGGAGAATGATGAAAAATTTTTGCGGGAAAAGAATCGACGAGATTGCAACATATTGCCCCGCAAATATAAACACATGGCTTTCTCTATAATGATGGAATTTTAAGCTTTAGAAACTTTAGATATGTCGACATCATGAGACTATATAAACGCGATACTACCGTTTAATATCCTTATAAATGTTTTGCACTTGTTTGGTGAGGAGTAATGTTGTACACATCGTTACAATCTGGCAAATTTTTATTCTTTTTGGTACGGATAGAAAGAGAGTTTTTTTAGGACACATATTTAACATACATTGAACCATTTGCAGTAAGTATAAAATGTTGCAATTATAATGAGATTAAATGTTTTGTGTTTTTTTTTATTTTTATATACCGCCATATGTATGTGTGTATGTGTGTGTGTTTCGGTCGATGGATATAATCCTCTTCAATGTTTATTACACATCATATTATCGAGATTCGCATTTAATTATTATCTAACCCATTTCAACCTATTTATCGCTGTTAATGTTTATAATACTTTACATTTTATTAAAATACGCAATTATTTTCTTCTTACAGTCAACCGAATCCCCTCCAATTCTTCAATCGTTCGAAAGGTGTCCCACAGATATAAATAGTGAAAGACAGAATTTAGTTGCGCACAAACCAGTCAATAAGTGGAGAGTGAATCAGTTGCGCACAAGCAATAGGTATAATATCGATTTCATTTTGATTTGAGCAAAATAGTACAATAAATTGTAACGAAAATTAACAAAAAGTATAATGTAAACGTAACAATTTATTAAACAAACAGAAAAGTAAAATTAATTAAAGAGCAAAAAAGCTCGAGTGTTGATGTGTGAAAAATAAAATTAATTATAAGAAGGGAGGAAAAAAAAAAAAAGAAAAAAAGAAAAAAAAAGAACCGATCTGGTTTCGGTCAGAAAAAACAAAATATTTTGTAATCCATTTCCAAGTAAGCAAAAAACTCTTACGGATAATATGTTATACACAAAAAAAATAAAGAATCAGTTAAAAATTAATTTATTTAAACAATATATAATCATTTTTATTAACAGTTATTTTAACTTCTGACACATTAGAATTTAATCAAATTGACTGATTATAATGGACTTACTGAGTGTAGAAATAGAAAGCAACTATCAAGGAAATTATAACAATATTAAAGTTACCTAGCAAACATAGGCACGGAGCAAATATAATCAAATTATAATTAAATTATAATTAAAATAAGTGATTTCTATTATTTTCGACTCATTAATTGCGGTAAATACGTTTAATCATTAGACAATTATTAAATGCGGACATCGATAATATCATGTGTAATAAATACTAAAGAGGGTCAAATCTATTGACCAAAACATATGATGATTTATAAAAATAAAGAAAACAGCAAGTATCTGGTCTTATTGTGTTCTTTAATATTAAATTTTATATTTTATCAGAGTTTATAACATGTATTTTTAAACATATGCTGTAGCAAGTGCAAAATAAACATATTAATGCTGCTAATATTTTTTTGGCAGCAATGTACAGTTCATCGGTAACCAGATATGAAGACAATGAAGATCAGAAGTTACTGCAATTGGAAACGGAAAATAAGAAGAATTCAATTCTCGATCAACCGCCGAAAGAACACATACCGGCAGTTCAACCATTAATTTGGCGCAATATCATTGGTATCGCCGTTCTTCACTTCTTGGCGCCCTATTTCTTTATCACGCGATTTTTCCAGATAAAATTTTGGACATGGATATTTGGTACGTACATATCTACGTATTAAATTGTAACTGTATTAAACTGTATTAAAGTGTAAATTAATTTTCCATTTCGACTTCATTTTTATCGGGAAGAATAAATATCGCTTATATAATAAATAGATGCAAAAGGTACCGAAATGTGTGCAAAAATACATAGCACGGTTTCCTGTGAAAGTTAAAATCTATTTTTTTTAGTGTAATTATAAACATGGTTTTCATTTAAAAATTTTTTTTAACACTTCTAGGTTTATACATTTGCACATTTAAAAAAAATAAAATTTTTGAAACATATGATTGTTTGTTGATCTCATTTTTATTTTTTTTATATGCAGGATTTACGTATGGATTTTTTACTACTATTGGCATATCAGCTGGTGCTCATCGTCTGTGGGCACACAAGAGCTATAGTGCTAAATTGCCACTCAGAATACTACTCGCTATTTTTTACTGTATGGCTGGTCAGGTAAGATTTCTAAGTATAAAGTTAAAAAGTAAAAGAAATATGGATTTGCGTAGTCTTCACAAACTCTTCACAACATTTTCCGTTTTGCAGACTCATCTGACTAAATGGGTTCGCGTTCATCGAATACATCACCGGTATACAGACACATCCGCGGATCCACATAACTCTAATCGCGGCTTTTTCTTTTCGCACGTCGGCTGGTTAATGATGAAACATCATCCAGCGGTCAAGGAATACGGAAAGAATGTGGATGTGAGCGACCTCGCTGCTGATCCCGTGATACGCTTCTTTGATAAGTAAGTTCAATATTTCAGCGGATTGATGTCCTTACAAAATTGTTTCATTCAAGGTGTTTAGCATTGTTCCTAAATGAGAGATTTGTACAGATGTGTAACACTTGCGGGTGTTTTCTATTGCAGATATTATCCGCCAATCATGCTGTCAGTATGTTTCGTTTTGCCGACCTTAATACAAGTCTACTTATGGAACGAAACGTGGGACATAGCCATAACTTCTACTATCGTCCGCTACGTATGGTCGTTAAATGCGACTTTTGCCGTTAACAGCTTCGCTCATTTATGGGGCACTCGACCGTACGACAGGTATGCATTAATTTCTTGGGCTCACACTTATGTGATTAGCATCAGAATCGGTCAAGATAGTGTGAGAATTGTGTTCAAATATAAATAGAAAAATATTATAATTTAATATAAAAGAGAATACTTTCAATAAAATTAAACAAAATAATAAACAGATTTTGTAAAGTATTATTTTGTTTAAATAAAAGCTGCGTGAGTTTCCAGCGGTCGTTCATATAGTCGTTCCAAATGAGTAAAATTTCTTTCTTTTCGTCTCTTTCTTGTTTTAGAAATATTAATCCAAGGGAGAATGTATATGTGGCCATCTTTGCTAACGGTGAGGGTTGGCATAATTACCACCATGCATTTCCATGGGACTACAAGGCTGCGGAGCTAGGCTTTCATAAACTCAATGTGTCAGCCGGCTTTATAGAATTCATGGCTTGGTTGGGACTAGCGTACGATTTAAAAACACCGAGCCCTGAAATCATTGAGAGATATTGCGCGAATAAAGGTGACGGCACGACCGGTCGTTCGAGACGAAAAACGAGACAAGCATCTTCGAAACATATAACTACTGTCGAATAAATCAGGAGATTGCTTTAAATTAAAATTAAAATTTATTTAAATTTCGGCAAATTATAATTTCTGTAAATGTGGCTACGTGCGTGCTTTGCATTTTTCAATGCGCATTGTCGTTGAAAATCTAAGTAAGTTAAAAAATTGTTGTTCTCGCATTACACGGTGCACATGTGAAATATATGTACATGCATTGCACGATTAATGGTAATATGCATTCTTGATGACTCGATTAGTATGTTTTGATGAGTGGCGCTTTTGCAAGAATTATGAAATAGCGGGATCTCTGTAATTACTGAATAAAAATACCATTAAAAATAGTATCGATATACATGCAGCTGTTATTGTTCTAATTAGTTAAATATGTATTTAATTTATATAAGTTTAAATATAAAAAATCTCAAAATTAAAAATAGTTAAATAAGTAGACATTATAAGGTGTTCAAGCAATTTGATTCATTTCGTCTTCCTAAAATATTCTATTTTAATTCCATCAAAATAATATCCTTGTTGATATGAATCTGAACGAGGCTGTGACTTTGTACATATTGTAAAAATAAATGTGGCGGCACATAAATCAAAATAAAATTAATTAATTAATTAATTAATTATCGAGAACATATCTCAAAGTTCACTGAAGCGAACGAGAGGCAGAGCAAACACGATGATAAATGAAGACCGTGGGACACGTATGAATGAATGAAAATCTGGCAGATCGGAAAAGCAAGTGGATAGGTGGTTGAATAAACAAACAAGCTGACGGATACGGGTTGGACAGATTACATCGTGAACAGAGAGAGTAAATAGCCACGCGTTTTCGTTCAGATGCGTTTGCGTGAATGCTGCTCATGCATGCGTACGACACCGCGTGTATGTGATGTGTATGATATATATGCGCCCGTTTGCATGTGCGTGTCTGTCTGTGCGTATGCATATTTGAGCGTAGAGGTGTGTAAGATCTTTTAACCGTGACGATGGATTTACGGTGCACTGAACGTTACCCGGGGAGAGTTTGTTGAACGGCATAGCGTTTCATCCAACATTATACTCGACTGTATAGCAACGGCGTCAAGGAAACGGCACGTTGCGTTTGTGTTATCGTCGTCAAAAGATTGAGTTAAATCTTTTGGGTAATTTTACTGGTTATTTCGAAAACTCGCAATAAAAGCTAATGCTCCATAAATGTCGCACCGGAAAGGGGAGAAGGTAAGTCCGCAGTTTGTCGCCCTCGGAGGAACGCGTTAGAGATAGTGTGCGTTAACCCCAGAGCAATTGCGAGGTAGAATAAATATCGAGGCGACACACATGTTACCCCTACAAGATCTTCAATTAATTCTATGTTATCTATTTGATTAAATATAATACATTTTTTTACCGTTCCAATTTTCACACAAAAGGGATGGACGGCAAAATGGGAGCATTGGTCGTCTTATCTTTATACTGCTTCAAAAGAGTTTACCTTGCTTATATTTTTAAGGAAAAGAAAGCTCGTGTTTACTAAGCATTAGATTTTGAACAGCAATTTAAACTTAAAATAATATCTCTTACCGACATTGCATCTTCGGGATAAAATAATCTGTTGTTTTAGAAAAATAAAGATGGAATAAAAGTAATTCAATTTTTTCCGAGTAATTGTTGCAAAAGAATTATAATCGCTTATAATTTGTAAAACATATTTTTTAACTTTGTAAAAATAAATGTATGAATAAAAATAAAGAGAGAAAGATTAATAAGAGTTTATTTTTTAAATACTTACCAATGCAACGCTGATTACAATGTTTAGATTATGGATCGTTGATAAGCTGATCACAAAATGTTGCCATTGATTTTATCCTTTGAGACAATCTATATTATGGTCCATATACATTTCGATAAAATTATACTCACAATATAATATAATTGTTTCATCATGTAGAATAACATTGGTCTGATGCACGTTAATCTTTTTAATTATTATTCATCGAAGAGTGATCAATAATATTAATTTTAATTTTAAATTTTCTGGACAAGTATAATTACTAGAAGTAAAGTAAAACTGAAAAAAAAGATTAGTTTTCGTTAAAGAATATTATTCATTAAATTGCAAGAAGTAAACGATGTATTTTTAGACGCGGTTCTACGGATCAATATTATGCTCTGAGGGTGAAAGACCTCCAGGTAAAATTTCGTGGAAGGGTTGATATTACCGACTGTTTTTAGTCATCCGCTAAACTGACAAGATATTATTAAAAACCGACAGGTCTGGATAAATTTTCGTGATTGTCAGAGGAAATCAATTGTCTCGGAAAATCATTTAGAGGTAATTAAATAACATTAATGTGAATATAATAACATACCAAATAAGAAGCCATGACAGCTGATGTAAAAATCAATAATAATGAAAGATAAATTTATGTAACTTTGCGAGGAGTACATTTTTTGTTGTCATCTTTTTTCGCTATTTCTTCGCGTATTAATTTGGCTATTATAGATAGTGCCTAAAAATTGATAGAAAATTAGCTTATACTTTAAATGTAGAATAACCGATAATATTTAGTGTTATAAAAATAGAAAAAAAGAAAAAAATGTCAATTGTTTAGCAAATTTGCTTTTTTATTATTACATTAAAATATTATTCTTTTCGTATTTTCTAAGAATTTTTTTATGGAGGTTTTTAAGTACAATTATTAATTCTCTTTCTTAATGAGTTATTTTTGTAATGCGTATAAGTTTTAATTTTTAACATTTAACAGATAAGTAATTAAAATTAATGAAATTCAAATTTACCTTGTCCATTTGTTCGGGTGTAATACAGCTGTAACTAAGTCGCAAGTGGCAATCAGGTTTTGAAGGATTATAGTTGAAAGCGTTTCCAGAGACAAGGAAAACATCTTCGGGCACACATTTATTCATCACAAAATCGAATACGTTATCTATGGCTGTTACCTCTATCCAAAGAAACATTCCACCTTGCGGCACATACCATTCTGCCAAACCTAATGAAACAAAATATGTGAGTACTACAAAACTACTATTGATAAAATTAATTTCAAATCGTTAAAATTAGTTTCTAAAATACCAGTCAAATGTTTTTCAACCATGGCTAGCATTGTGTCACGTCGCTCCCGATAGAAGTTTTGAATGTCTTTGAAATGTTCCTCGAATTTTTCCAGTCCCCAAATTTCGAAGAGTTTATAAAGAAACATCTGAAAAAGATGATTGCAAATGCATCTAAGTTATTTACTTGGATTTACTTAAATGTTTCAGATGTTTAAAAACAAAATCTTACTTGCGAAAAAGTCGACGCGAGAAGAACAGAATTTTCCATATGAAGGACTAGTTTGCTTGTAATATCTTTGTGGGCTGTGACGATACCGATACGCATTCCAGCGCTCACAATTTTGCTAAATGAGTCCAATCTGATTACGCGACCATCGACGTCGAGGGAGAAAAATGACGTAGGCTGTTTATCCAAAAAGTGAACAAAGTAGTAAGGATCGTCCTCAACGATCAGGAAATCGTATTTTTGCGCCAATTTATACACTTTCCTTCGTCGGCTCTCCGATAAGACGCTGCCCGTAGGATTCATTCCCGTTGGATTAACGTAAAGTAACTGAAAGATTGAACAAACTATGTACATAATCTCTTTTATAAAAGAAAATAATGTTAAAACACAAACAGATAAAAAAGTTAATATAAAAGTAAATTAATTTTAAGTTTCTATATAATATTGTAAATTTTCTGACTTACTTTTGGCATCGGTTTGTTGTCTACAAGCCTCTGCTCGCATTCTTTAATGATTTCCTCGGGAATTATCCCATCGGCATCTTGATTAATCTCTATAACATCCGGTAACAATGGTGCTAGCTATGAGTAAAAGAAAAGAATTTCTTGAAAGTTATTTTAGAAAAATTGCTTATGTGCGTTTTATTAAGTTAATCATTTTTATCTTTTTACTCGATATATAAAAGAATTAAAGTAAATCATCGAAAAGCGAACATTTTATGAGATATTTTTCTCTCTATAATGTCAATTAATTTGTATAATTCAAACTCAATATTAAATTCTTTTTATTTTAAAACAACCAACCGCTCCGATTATTCCTGAATATAATGGCGTTTGAATCATAACTGGATCGTTCTCTTCGATCATCATTTCCAAGATTTTAGTACAACCGTCCATAGAACCGCACGTCATTACGACGTCCCAATCATTTCGTTTCGGTTCATGCCATGCTTTCTGGAACTCCTTCCATTTTTCTATTAACGGCTTGTAGCTTTAAAGTAAAAAGAAATCATATATGATAAATTTAAAATCACATTTTTATTAAAAAAAATGATATGTTATATTGATAGTAAGATTATGACAAATAACAAAAATTATGTTTCGATTTATACAACTAATAAAGTATGTACAATAGAATATAGAGTAGAATCAAAATATGTCTTTGATATACTGTTCTACAAAGAGCATGAATAAATTAGCGTTTTGATTTATGGATGACTTATGTATTAGTCTGTTAATGTTACTTGCCCCTGCGCGGCTCCGTATTGCAACGCAGTAGATAATTCACGCTTGTCAAATTGTAATGAGATGTCATGTTTGTATGTCACAGAAATGTCTGTAATAGGAAATGTAGCGACATTTGGCATGCCTCCAGCCAGACTTATGCTGTTTGGCCTCATCTGGTGAAGCTCAGCTAATAAAATTTCAAGCAAGATAATTAATGATTAGATTAGATAAAAAGTCAACAATATTTATATTTCTTTGATTTTGTTATGATTTTTATGCAACATCTTATCGTATCCCATCAACATATTATCAATTTTTTTGTATTTGATATATTTGTAAAATTTTGATAGTTTTCACAAATGGAAAAATTGTGAGATTGAGAAAAATACGTGATAAACAAGAAAATGCAATGACGACTTACTTAAGCGCCTAATTAAATTTGTTCTTCGTCTACTAGTAATTTTAGCGAAGAACTTGGTGTAATCCATGGTAGTTTGTGTTGCTCGAAGTAGTGCACAATTACAATTCCGTTCCTCTCTCACCAAGATCTTCTTCACGAATGTTATATCATATGATGTACAAATGTTCCAAAAAAAAAAAAGGTTATCGCATATCTGTTTATGATAAGATTGGCTGTTTACATTGAACTCGCTCAGCACCTCAGCTATTCACATAATTAAAACACAAATTGATCAATTCTGTACATTTAATGAAATAAACAAATATTAATACAATAAAGAGAATAAATAGAATAAAATAAATCTAAATAAAAATTATACAAGTATATGTGCTAGTAATCTCTTCTGAGATGCAGTTAGATAAATATTTAGAAGCGACATTGATGTAAACATGTGAAACATTAATTCTTCTGAAACATAAAAAAATTTTATTAAAAATAATAATGTAAATAATTAAAAGTAAAAAGTTAAATTATAATTCTGGCTCTAATTATTATTCAATAATACTATAAAATAAAAGCTATTTACGAGCCGAGCCGGGTGGTAATTGCTCCTTTTCATTTATTAATAATATTGTATTTACACAAACGTTTCGACCATTTGGAATGTGGTCATCTTCAGTGTGTTACATTATAATTATTTCATCATACGTCGCAATTGTTTACAGATTTAACTTAAAATTTATAATATTCCAGTTTTTCTATTGAAATCTATTGTGTGCTTCATTTCTGTTATTGTATTTAATTCTTTTCAATTAAATTCATTGGTCCATCTTTTTATAAATTGAGCATCACCGTGTGATTACTCCATAAATTTGTCATCTATGATATTTCTTGATAAACCAGTATATGATATGAAGAATAATTTTTGTCAACTTGATAAAATGTACGTTAAAGTATAAAAGAGTGACTTGTGATTTTCAATGTGGATCTGAAGTGTTATTACCGATAACACTGATAATATTATTAGTAGTAATGTAGATCTACATTGAAGTCGCAAGTCATTCTTTTATACTTTAACGTACATTTTATCAAGTTGATAAAAATTATTCTCCATATCATATACTGGTCCATCAAGAAATATCATAGATGACAAATTTATGGAGTAATCACACAGTAACGCTCAATTTATAAAAAAATGGACCGATGAATTTAATTAAAAAGAATTAAACATAATAACGGAAATGAAGCACACAATAGATTTCAATAGAAAAACTAGAATATTATAAATTTTAAATTAAATCTGTAAACAATTGCGACGCATGATCAAATAATTGTAATGTAACATACTGAAAATGACCACATTCCGAATGGTCGAAACGTTTGTGTAAATACAATATTATTAATAAATGAAAAGGAGCATTTACCACCCGGCTCGGCTCGTAATAGCTTTTATTTTATAGTAAGTAATTATAAAAATAATTAGGTTCTAAATAAAATTCATGCTTTTTATCGCTTAAAATGGTTGCGATAAAATGTTAAAAGGACAGTAGATATTTCGAAATATACTCATAACATTTATTCCAATTTATTAACATCTTGTACGTGTATCTATGTATGTGTGTATTTGTGTGGTTGTAACCTGTGTACCTGCAAATGTATGTGTATCACTGTTTCCATCATCTTTTTTTCCTTTAACGCTTCGGATAACATTTTGGGTAACTTATTGTATTGCCCGATAAACGCTCCATTCGATATCGATCGATCGATCACGCGCGCACGCGATCGCGCGCGGCGCTGATCGGCAGTCGGGTAGATTTTCGATCGATCTCGAGTAAAAAAAGAGCCATCGACGTCGAACAGAACGTTCGGCTTTCGGGTTTTGTTCCGGCGACCGACAGAACGGGGCTCGTCGTATGCATCAGCGTTGTTTGTCGGACTTAAATTCACGATCATGTTGACTCTATCCGTTTCTCTAATTGATTTTTGTAATCGACTCGATTGAATAACATCCGGTTCAATAACATAATCACGAAAAATAACGGAAAATAAAGTAAGAAAAATCAAGATCTACATTACTAACAAATTAGTACACGGTTTTACGTTTTTACAGAAAGATATATAAAAAAAATAGCAGAGCCAAGCCTTAAAATATCGTGAAAAATAAAAAAATGTTTTCTCCAATTCGATTCAAACGTAAAATAAGTTATTTCGACAATTGCTAATTTTATTAGCAATACGACATCAATTTATAGTTCAAATTGCACGACACTGACAATTCTCACGCATTGTATATAATATATTTTAATTAATCAATAAGATACCCGGCAATAAAATACTCTATACTCTATAAATTACCATTATGGCAGTTAACACATTACGCGTTGATTGGTTTTAACAGCACCGTTTTCTCATTAACTTTTCTTTACCTTTAGTTAACCCTATCACTTTCCCATTGATACATATGGTATGGTTTTTTATCACACTTTCAAAAATACTTTTTTTTTGAGAAAAAATATATCTTGTAAATATATTACAATTGTGTCTCTCCTTATCGGAATAGTTGTTAAATATTCTTACGTGAAAGTGAGAGAGTTAAGTTTTCAATTTTAGAATATTTTCTATTTGTCTTTATTAATATTTTATATTTAATAGTACACATACGTACGTTCGACACGTTTAAGCATGCTTTTTTTTTACGGAAATAGGCCCCGCGCAATCGTATTAAAATACACATTCGAAAATATCGATCGGTTCGCGGCCGAGAAGTATTTCAACGTGTACGTTCTGTTTTGATATTCGTCACTCGTGCCGAATTGCATCATCATAAACACAACATCATCCCGTCGTGTCGGTCGACGAAATATTTCTGTACCATTTTTGAGGCCGTTCTTGCTATACGCTGATTTTCGTTATCATTTGTCGCGCCGTTTTCTCTCGCATAAACTTTCCGCCAAGCCCACGTCTCGTTCTCGCAATTAATGCGATTCGCAATGGAACTATTTACAAAACGGAACACTTAACAACTGCGTCTGCGTTTAGTTTATCGCGAGCTAATTATCGAGCCGTCGGGTTTTATTCCTTCGTTTTACGATAACGCATTTAATGGGCGTCTCGTTTATACAACACGCGCATCCTCTCACTTTAGCCGACACGTTCGCACGGACTTTCACATCACCGAATTTCAAAGTTGCGGTTTTCATTGAGCTCTAGAGTGATCTAACAAAAATTTTCGCTCTGAATGGTGCACATGTCAAAGTCGCACGTTTGTACTCCGCTAATCGTACTAGCTAAAGACACTCAGAAGCAACGATGTTGCATTTCACATATTCGTTTTCTTAGCTTAGTCTTCTTAAATTTAATTAGCAAATTTTGTACATAAAATTTAGTAAGTTTAATGTAACTTTTCAATATACATATCATTATATTAATATTTTTTTGTGTTAGGTTTAGTTAATAATATAAAATAACTTTTTATATTATTTTCGTATTTCAGAACATACGCATTCCACAGCACGATATTGCACAAAGTATCCTGTCATTAACATTAAATTATTTTTCTTAATAATATATTTATAAAGAAGAATAAGTTTAATGTTGAATGACGTACTTTTTGTTATTTTGAATTTATACAATTGGTTTGAATTAGCGTAACAAACATGCGTCTCGCTATTATGCACCTATTTGGAAGTACGATGGTAAGTAGTGAGCGCCCAAACATAATCAGACACGAGTTGCACAAAGATCAGACTAGTGGGCGGTATTTTTCACTCGAAATGAAAGCTTGGGATAGGTGAGTCGTTAGCACTGCTTGCACGTATCTGATTAAGTTTAAACATAACCACTCGAATAAATCTTTAATAAAAAAAAAGATATAGAGGGAGATTGTTAAATACACATATAAAATAGAACATAGTAGAAGATATAATATTTTTTACACAAAAGTTGAAAAAGTTGCCGAGTCTCCAATTCATATTCTTCACATTTATATACAAGGTGATTCGTTTACACTCGGTAGTTTTTTTTTTCTAGAAGTATTAGACGAAAATGGTCAAGTATTTTGTTTTTAGAGACTATATTTTACGTATCTATGTAATGATTCACCCTGTATATCGGATCTATGTCAATCGTATATGAAAAATCATACTAGAAACGTAATATTCGAGTATATACATATCTATTCTCATTATTTAGAATTAACAAAATCTTTTTTTAATTTATAAAAGGGAGAAACATTATATATAAAAAATTGACACCAGTCACTCATTAAGCTCGTTAAGCTCATTAAGAATGTTTTTTTGAATCTGAATGTATTTGATAAAAGAAGAAAGTATAAATATTAACTTTGGCACGATGAATGTAATTCATCATAAGCAAATTTAACGAAAGAAAGGAAGAAAAATATAAAGATTGTTATTAAAGAAAGGTGATCATTGATTAGTATCGTAATGAAACCGTAGTAACGACATATTTTTTCTTAAAATAATGCCATTTATAACACTAAAATAGAAATCATTCAGAATTTAGAGCAAACAGTGTCTTTGATGTTTTGAGGCAATAATATCAATTGTTAGTTTTAATGATGAGAGTCTTTGTTAATACTAATCAACGAGAGAGAGAATGCGATGCTTTGAGAAGTGAGTAAATGGACTTAAGAAAAGATTACACGATAATCTGTATCGAATGCTTAATGAGTCTAGGCGCGAGTTCTAACAGTTTCTTACGCTTAAAGTATCTAGTGTCGAAGAGTAGAAAAATTATAAAAGTACGAAGGTCTATAATAATCGTTAATATGAGAGAGATTCCGTGCGGCTGCTCCATTGCTGTTTTTCATCTTTTCCTAACTAATGTTAGAAAATATTTAAAATGTAATGTAAAATACTGTTTCTTTTAGCAAATAAATAAAACATCAATCTTAAGCCAAATTAATCAGTTGTACAATTATTATTATTTTAAAATATCAAAATTGATTATAGTTATTCGTTAATTATTTGTCATTAATAAAATAATTAATTATTCAAATAAGTCTCTTTTTATATGTTTAATCAAATTATGTGATCGCTTTATATGCATTAACTTTTGCCATATCAATATTTGCCGTATTTGAGACACTTTTCATACCTTGGTGTGTTTTTCTGTCAATATTTTCTATTTTCTATTGCTTTTTAGATATTGTTTCGTAAAACTATTTTCAATACTTGATATTAAAAATAAAAAAATAAAAAGATAATTATTAAATGTCAAAAATAAGTCTAAATTTTGATGTTAGCTGTAATTTTCTTCTGTAAAATTTATAAATAAATATAACTGAAAATAAAAACTTATAGCATCAACATTTTTTTTTACAAGAAAACGTTTGCAAGTGTTTCTTTCCAATTTTAATAAATTCTTGATATTCAAAATTAATTTGACATATTTAATTTTGATTGAATATCGCCAATGTTATTGCCAATAAGAAAATATTCGTTCATAATTGATCTTTTTATAAACTTTCTTTATATTTGCATAAAAAAATATATAAAAAGATATTTCTTTTAAGCTACTTTACAATATTTACAAAGTTTATCAAAACTGGATAAAATTACTTGCAAATCTTTTCTTATAAATTATTTAAAATTTGATTCATAATTTAATTTAATTAATCATTTCTAACATCGTTTAAAAAATTTTGCAGTTTAATAAAAATAAGCATCGAATAAAACAGAATATCAAATAAATTATGCAACAGAAAAAAGCCCCCACAAATCGTGAATCAAAGCGAAGAAGCGTATAATCGAGTAAGGAGATAAGAAACGTGCGAATTTCGCAAAAACGTTAGATTTCTGGCGGCGTCGCGCGGAAACACTCCTGAGAAGTCAGAACGAGGAAAGAGAGATGAGAAGGAGAGTAGTTGATGAGGATAAAGTTAAGAGAGTGTATATTTCTCTAAACGACGATGGAAGAAGTGCAGCAGAAAGGCACCGAGAAAAGGTTCATGTGGTTGTACGAACGTTAGACGCTAAAATCAATTCACGACACAAACTCGTGTACAGTCTCTAAAAAGTCTTGCGCTCGCCCTATTTATATACATATATATATATATATATGTACATATACACATATATACACATATATGTATATACATACGTATATACATGTGTATATGCTCCGCCCGCCTAAAGTCGCGCTAAACTACTTGGCACGCATTCGCAACACGCACACTCACGTGTATTCATTCGCGCATATATGTCCGCATATATTCTCATTCTCGGTTCTTTCTGAGTTTTATAACTTCAGCTAGACACTGTTTGATTGTTACATTTGGCAATTCGGCAGCACTCGCGAGTTTTCAAGCTCCTTGTCTTGCGCGACTACGGAGCGACGTGCTGCACGCCACGCGTCGCTGAGAACTTTGTTCCTCGTTAATGAATGCGGCGCTCGACACAAATGCAAGTGAGAAGTATACTTCGTCTTTGCTTATCCGACACCCTGCGGAAATTACTTTCACTGTTTTAACCACGAGATTAACTACGAGATTAGCTCTAACCAAAATTCTGAAGGATTTTCAAAGAAATTTCGGAGAGATATTTCAATGTATCTGAGAGAAAGGAACGATGGAATCACCATATTTGGCATGAAACGCATTGCAACGAAAAGGATACGATTGGAACGAACTTATCAGCGTGTCGGCGTATAGCAGGCGCACCTTCCGCAATAGAAATAATTTCTTTTTTTTTTTTTACTTTCCTACGGCTGCGTTCACGCAAAAACTTCGCCTCCTGTAGCGACCACAACTTCATCGTAATTCTCAATCGAAATGTTGGATTTTGTACGTATATAGATAACAGTGATTCAATAAGGCATACGATATCCAATTAGGGACGTCTCCCTATTCATCATGAAACTTTTACCAGTACGTGTGTGCCCCTAAAAGTTTTGGACACCTCTCTCTTTCTCCCTGTCTCCGAGAAACTTTCCTGTAATCTCTTAGGTTCGCAAAAGTTGATGTTTTCGCCTAATGGTCGAGAGTAATGGATAGCCGTATATAAATTACTAGAGGGAATTACACAACGGTAATCATACAGTCGCTGAACCATAGATTTTCTCTCCCAGCCCGCACTTTCCCGTCTAGTTGCTGCTTGTTGAACTCGTGCCGCGGGGGCGAAGTTTGGAACGCAGCCAATGTAATATAAAGTCTCTTCTTCACGTAGACGACGTTACAGAGTCTCGCATCCCTCCGCTCTGTCAATCGTGCGGCGGGGCGGATTCACCGTCGTAATACGCTCCACGTAACGCATCGTAACACGACGTATATGTACACCTATCTAAAAGTAACGCTCGCAGCACCGTGTGTGTGCGAGGCGCGCACGCGGCGCCTATTACATTATATTTCACCTCTTAATCCCCGATATAATAACTTCGCGGTCACGTCTTATTCGTCTACTATACAAACTCTTGGCTAGAACAACGGTAGATAGTCCTCGTGCGCTCGTTTGCTCTTATGTAAATGTGTTTTACTGTATTTTTTTTTCTTTTTAAATTCATTTATCGTCGTGTGCCTGGAGGGGCTCGCCGGCAGTGATGTTAGCTTCCGCGGAAAAGTCTCCAGATGTAGAAGTAGAGGCATATGGCTCACACTGGTTAAGCTACGTTATATATTTTTGTTCTTTTTTTACCGAAAATAGACGGAGCATACAAATTGCTCTCGTCAACGATAAATATGTCTCGCCTACTATATTTGTCTTTTTTTTTTGTCCTTTACACCGACGCTCTAACATTTTGATAAATTCGATTTTCTACACCCAGCGAGCTTCTCGTCAGCTAATATCACTGAATTGACGCGTGAGAAGAACTGAAAATAATTTCCGTAGAGTTGTTTCTCGAGTTTCTCTTTTTTTTTTCTTTTTCAGGTTGATCACTAGATACTTGTGCTTTCGCGGTATCGATCCATATTTTAATCCAATAGAAATTTGCTGAACAACTTTGCGGAGCGACCGATAAAATAGAATGCTCCGCGAAAATACGATCGGCGCACGGGGAAACTTTGGCAACTTTTCCCTCGTCGCAATCGCTTATAGTAATCGCCCTGTTTCCGGTTCCCCTCCATCGAGCACGGTGTTTATCTATCGTACGCAAGAGGGTTATAGACACGTACACGTACACCCAAAACCTTACAGAGCTTACAAGATTACACGAATAGAAATACGTTTTGTTTCCTCGCATTAGGGAAACGTCGGATCGACAGCGAACCGGCGGTTTTCACGCCGAGAAACCTGCGGCGGGGAAAACCGGTTCGACGGCCATCCGAACGAGAGTGCTTGCTTCCCCCGTGTTTCTCTCTTTCGCTCCCCTTGCTTCTAACTTTTTTATTTTCACTCTCCCATCCGCTCGCCTCGTTGACAATCACATGTTACACCGACGTCAAATAGTCGAGTATTGCGCGCGTATTATTGTTTTCGCGAGAAGTATCACGATCAGTCCAACGGGCTTGATTATCGTCGCGCTTGTATAAAAATAATTCCCTATTTCCCCCTGCAACATCGTCGATCGGCCTGTCTCCCTCCCCCCCTCCCCCCTGTTCGTCGCGGTCTCCCGCCGACTGTCTCCTGAGTTGCGAGTTTTGTGGTTCACCCTGGTCGATTTGGAACGAGTTTCTCCGCTCGTTTCACGGATTATCTTTTGTGCGATATATAGATCACCTTGCGTCCTTATCCCAAATTTTGGCTGCTCGAAATCTTGCGAGCTCGATTGGCGTCTCGCTCGTGCCAATTCGGACGCCACGAATGTCCAAGTGAGGAAGTGCATTTGCTTGTTTTCGTTGTTAAATGGATCACGAGTGTCACGAGTGTGCGCGCTGCGTGTTTCGAGGGATGCTTACATGAAGAGAGCATGGTGGAGAAATACGGGAAATAATGAAGCCGTCCAATTTTCTTCGACTAAATGAGATTGCGGTGCGGTGCGGCTTGCAATTCTAGATAAACCGATTCTCGCGAAGTCTCTGTGTGTTCGCGATGCTGGTAGCTGCGGGGATACACAACAGGTAGTTAAGAAACGTTAGATAAATCCGACCAGATGCATTATTCGCGAACGTATTATGGAACGCGGGACAGAGATAGACGTCTGGAATATGTCGATAGATGAAATCTCAGGTAGATTTCGCCGTCATCTCGCGGTACGCCGGTCGAAGACACGTTCTTTGAACTGACGACGTAATCTGACCTGGGTTTCGTGCTTGCTACAGAGTGTACCGCGCAGTCGACGTAAAATGCTTCGATCTAGACTACTTTAGGATGAGTTTGCTCCGGTTCCGGGACGAGACTCGCCGCCGTAATATCAAAAATCTCCGATATTTCTTCGAACGAAAATGCTTTCCGCGTTCTTCCACGTCTCGCCCGTCTTAGATTTCTATTCTGTCCTTCATCGTCGTTGCGATTTAATTTATCGTTTTATTCTTCCCCATCTTTGCGATACTTACAAAGATTATTGTTGGTATAATCTGTTTGCTTTTAATTTGTCGCATAAAAAGTTGGATTTTTTTGTATCTTATTAACAATTTTACGCGACGATTTTTGCATCCGTAAATTACGAACTGAGATCCGCTGACTAATTCAACAAATGTTTTTTTGAGCCTACCTAAACGATATTTCGATCACGATGGGATTTGAAGAAATGACTTTTCAGAAGAATGACAAGGCGATTGAGAAATTGAATAAAGAGTTCAAGGTTGAATTTTTCGGGCAAATGATTTCCTCGGATATCGACATTCTGGATTTAACTTCGTCTCGGTAAAAACAGATCGAAGAATATGCTCGCTACGAAAGACGCGCCCTAAAAGAGCGTTTCTTGGGACCATATTGGCGGGATTGATGGCAATGGCGCAGGCGGCGGTGGTCTATGCCTCAGCTCGATCGGCGGTGAACACGGTGGAGATCCCACGCTACTCTGACTGCTACTGGTCGTCGTTGAGGCTGGTTGCGACCTGTCGTCAGAAGTTTAATTAACAATGGGAAGTGCGAGAAAAAAAAATATAAAAAAGAGCGAATCGGAGCAAAATTCTCCGCAAAGAATTTTTACCTGGAGGTTTCGACGGCGGCACTGATGGTCAAGCATTCTTGGCAGGGTTTACTGCCAGCCCGTCGTCTGGGCACACAGCCCGCGCATCCGTCCCATTTCTCAAGGGTCCGTTTTTTTCTAGAAGGCACCCGCAGGAATCGCCGACAGCTCGGCCCAGGCGCGTCCGAGTCGGTGGAGAAGCCCGAAACCTCGTCCTCCGTGTCGATGCACTGCTCCTCGTCCTCGTTCTTCAAGAACACGGAGTCGGAGCCGAGCGATCTGGAGTCCGGATCCGGGGGATCCACGCTGCCCATCGACGCTAGCGGCGCCCTTCTGCCGGACGACGCCGCCATAAGGTTGCCGACCGCACCGGCGTAGAGGCCGACCTCGCTACCGCATGGCGATAAATCCGGCGTTGGCTGTATTACCTGATTATAACAAGTTTTCGAGCTAGTTGAATTTACCCCATTTAATGGACAACTATTGTAACATCCATTACAACACCGCTAACTACGATTAAAGTAATTTTAATTTATTATCTGCAGCAAAGATCGCTAATTATAATCTAAAAGGAGATAACAGAATTATTATTGTTGGAATAAAATTATAACGGTAGTTAATCGCGTTGTTTAAGATAGCAAGATAATAATGTAAAAAATAATTATAGAGCAGATTAAATGAGACGCAATGTAATTTATTTTTCAAAGTCTGCAAACGAGGTAAAGATTGTTAAATAGTGTTAAGAGGAAGTTTGCCTTGAAAAAGTTGCAATTGTAAATGTTTACCTGGATATCGATAGGGTAATATAAATCCCATGGCTCATCGTAGGCGGCGTGACGCGGGAAGGATGGAGGAGGCGGAAGGCACGGCATCACCATGGCTGAACCCCTTCGTTCCAGATAACTACTTCCAGTGCTGCTACAGGTGACCGAGCTACATCTTCTGTAATCGACGGGGGGAGCCAACCTCGGTTGCCTGATTGGTGGTGCCAATAGGGCGTCGTATCCACCTCCGACTGAGGCAAAGCGAGGTGCCACCACGGGTGAATGAGACGGGTTCATCTGATTTAAAACATATCTATGTGTTATCAGTGCTTGATGGAAGAAAGAATTAAAAGCTGAATGCAACTTAAAAAGAACGCTTATCTAAGTCCAAATTTGTGCATTTTACAAAAGTATAAAGATAAACTTTGTGATTTTGATAGAATAAAATAAGATACATTTCTTAATTATTTTGTATAATTCTCTATACTAACTAAAATATTATTTTATAATTTTTAATAAATATGGTAAAATTAATTATAAATATTGTTTAAGAGCGTATAAACTTCACTATCACGCATACACAGTTTGGATTTTCCACACTTTTTTTGAAATTTTTTGCCAACAAATTGCTTTTGGCAAATTGCTGAAGAGTACATACACCTGTAAATTTTATCAACAGTAATTACAAAGTTTTATTGCATTTAGACATACCGTTTTTTATTAAAAACTATTAAATTTATTATTTCTTTCTCAATTTATTCACAAACATCCAGCGGCAAATAAAATAATTTTGAATATTTAAACTGCCACAGTTTACCTCGACGCACAACGACCTCCTTGGACCACGACCCGGCTTGGGTGGTAACCTGGCAATCGCTTCGAGAGCGGCGGCAAGTGCTCGTTCTTCAGCTTCAGCTTCCGCAACTGCTGCGGCTGCCGCCGCAGTCAGCGCCGGGTCTTCTAGTTGTTTGCTCGCTTTACATCTAATAAATATGTAAATATTTAAGTTCTCCACTTTAATGACAATCTGAATACTGGGTAGTTGATAATGGGATGTGGCGAAGTATATCCTGTTGAAATTACTATTTTAGCAGCAAAAATATCAAGAAATAATTACTTTTTTGTAATTGATTAAAACTGAAGATAAAATCAATAGTCTGTAATAAAAATAAATATGTAAAAAATCACAATTTTAATTAACTTTGAACTTTAATTAAGCAAGATTTTTATTAAAAAAAGATTGAATGTTAAAACTTGCAAGAAGATATTCGAAATGCTACGTATTTCGCGCGAGATACGACGGTGCAAAATTGTTATAATTACCTGCTCTTGTAAACTACCAGCAGCACCATTAAGCTGAAGAAGCCGCCGAGGGTCGCGGCTATCCGTACCCCCGTCATGACGTCGTACGTCTTGTAAAATTCGATTTTGAGCTGTTCGCGCTCGCTCAGAGTCGGCGTTGCATCTGGCAGGAACGTCGTCGGATCTATCGTCGTCGTCCCTGTCGCGTTGCTGCCGACACTCCCCATTCCTACACATCAAAAAGATTTGCCATTGCAAAAAAAGAAAGGCAATAAAATATATATAACAACGTTTGCCAACTCGAGTTGAACGTTTATACTCCGTAAATTGCGTTTGAGTTGAATGCGAAATGTCTGCAACTGATTTTACGAACGTTTCCAACAAAGATACACTTCGATATCGTAAAGTTTGCAAGAGTTTTTCTGCAAAATGGACTGCTACGCATCTGTCGTCGCGCTCCCGTGGAAGATAAAGTGCGGGAAAAGCGTATAAAAGACCTATTTGTTCGTACAACTTTGTTTATCGATTCAGTTGTAAGTATTGATTCGGTACTATCGAACTAGCGACGAGATGAGAACTTCGATGACGAAACGGAATAAAATTGAAAGAAAGGTCAACTGCATTCGAAGGAACTGAATCGCTTGAAATCTCTCTCGGAGAAAAGTGCATAAGCTGCGAATCACAACGAGAGAGCTTTTGTTTACCGAACTGTGTCGGCCAACGTATGCTGACTGGGCTCGAAAATGGAGTGACGGCGCTGAATTTTCTGGAACAGAACGACGACGCGTCGTCAAAAGAGGAGCTGGCATTCGCCCGCGGTAGGATTTTGCATTTTACTACAAAAAATAATAGGAAAAAAATCAAGCGAAGGAAGCCGTTGCAAAGGAAGCCGGGAAGGCATACGCGAAAAAGCGAGAAAGAGAGAAAAAAAAAGAGTTCAAAGAGGAAGAAGAAAAAACGCTACAATCATTGAACAACAGTCGACGGAGAGAACGAGGGTAGGAGCGATACACACCTCTCTCGCTTCGAGCTTGGCCAGCTAGCATTGTGCACGTGGAGATGGTTGTAGGTTCACGTATTGATTCCACCTTTGCGAGCCTACCTCCAACGGAGCGCACGGCATCTGAACGCAACTATTACAAAATTTATTTCGGAAACGTTATCGTTCGAGGTCTTCGGCAGACTCAGGATGCGAAGTGCACCGAAAGCAGGATTTCACCGAAGAAGAATGTTTCGTGAGGAAAAATGTTCAAAAAAAAAAAAAAGATCGACGGCCTATTATAAAGCAGCTTGTCGTTATTGAAACGCGACGAATCCGTTATTTGCATAACAGTCCGCACGACGGCGCGTATACAACGTCGTTACGGCGACTGGAGGGCCACTTTTAAAACCGACGGTATTCCTTTCAGCAAGAACGAGCTACTCCTTAATGCAATTGCTTTCAATTTTCACGATCGTCGAGTCGCAGACGCGAGCAAGACG